TCCCCGGGCCGAACGCCGCCTTAGGGACGGCGTCTGGTCCGGCTGGTGCGCGGCGGGGGGGTTGCTGCCGGCTTCGGCGGCGGCGGTGGTCCCTCGGCCGGTGGGTCACGGAGCGGCTGGCCCCCCGGCTTTGCTGTCCGAGGAGGGCTGGCGCCTCGGAGCGAAGAGAGCGGCTGCAGCATGCCCGGCGCCGTGAGCGGGGGCTGGCGGACAACGTCGTCCTCCGGAACGCCGTCTCTGTTGCCGCTTGCAGCAGCCCTGCGTGGTGGCACGGTAAATTAGGCAGCGAGGGGCCGCTTCGGCTTGTGACAGATGCTTAATGCTCTTTGTACCTGGCTTGGTCGATCGCTTTCACTGCGGAGGTCTGTTGCAAGGCACGATTTGGGTAGGCGTTCGGCCGGGGAACGTGTGCCGATCACGGTGAACGGTCCTGTCGTATGGTTGTGCGTTTAGGTTACGACACGGTGAAGACTGGGCCAAGTACCGTCAAAACTGAATGAAGCAGAGGTCCCGTTCAAGTGATTAATAAAGTTCCTGAGGACTTGAAGGAGATGGCTGTGAAGTTTCATACGTGTATGGTTTTTGACAAAAATGAAGACTGTAACAGGGCCTTGTTTGGGCTTTGGGAAAATTGAGTCGTGTTATCCTATAACCTACACTTTACCAGTTTTCACATTGTCACTAGCTGTTTCTTTCGCTTAGCAATTTGGTCAGCAGCTTCAGAGCTTTACTGAAGTCTCTGCATGGCGCCTTTCACAGTTGTCGTACAAGCATTGCCCTTAATCTTTGTTAGAAACAAACCTTATGTAACTTACGTTCTCCTGGTACTTTTCATTTGTAGGGATTAGCAGATACAGCTAAAAAGAACTTTGGTGGTGGAAACACTGCTTGGGAAGAGAAGACGCTGTCAAAGTATGAGTCCAGGTAAGCTGTCTCAGTACTTCTCATTCGGCTAAGTTTAATGTCTACTGTGCGTAACTTCACCGTACCAGTGTTTGGCCGGAACGTAAATACTGAATGTTGTAGCTAACGTTTCATGTGTCCAAGCCTTGAATTCTTATTGATTAAAATGTAACATTACACTATAAAGAGTACAGTAAAGACTGAAACTCCTTATTGATGCCTTTATTTGTCTTGTTTCTGGAAAAAAAACCAAAGTTAATACCGTCATTGGTCATAGTAGGTTTTTTTCTATTTACTCGTTAAAGTCCTAAAGTGGCGATCTTTAAATAATGGTCAACAGTTAATTGGTAGTCATAAAAAGTGTGGAGTACTGTAATACTTGTTTTAGAATTAAAGCAGTATCTCCTCCCTGGAGTCGTCACTATTTCAGTGCCAAACAGAAAACTAGAAGAGATGCAGATTACTGTACTCTTGTATATATGTTTGATTGCTGAGCAAAGTGATCTGGTATCTTTCTTCCAAATTTCAAATTCACTTTTTAGTCTTAGTTGGAGCATTCAGATGTAAGGGTGGGATTTCTGAACCTCAGTTACTGTGAGCTTCATGGGCTTGTGTCAAGTATTAACAATACATGAAGTTTATTGTTGAACTTAGGAGAAAAATGCTGCACTAAAAATTTGCTGGGAAGCTAAAAATCTATCAAACCTACACTCTGCAGACATCATAAGTGCAAGCAAGCCAAAGTCGTTCTTGTGGTCATCGTTCTCATTTATTTTGGGGGGGTTTGAAGTAATGTTCATTAGTGCTTTATTCTGATATTTGCTTTGTTTTGGAACTAATTCAGAACACAGCATAAACTGATAAAGTATTCTAGGCTGAAGTCTAGCTTCTCTGTCATGTCTTGAGTGGTGTCAAATGTTTAAATCACGATTTTCCTTCTCTGGTTGTAGCGAAATTCGTCTTGTAGAGATCATAGAGAATCTGTGCGACAGTAGTAACTTTGAATGTAACAACATGGTAGAAGAGCATGAAGAACATATAGAGAAATGGTGGTTCAAACTGTAAGTATTGAATTTTTTTTGTGGAGATCTTGGTGTGGATAAGTTATCTAAGAGGATGAACTACTAATGTTAAATCTTGTGCCTGAGCAATAGCAGTATGGGTATGTTGTGGTTTAACCCCAGCCAGCAACTAAGCACCACGCAGCCGCTCACTCACTTCCTGCCTCCACAGTGGGATGGGGGAGAGAATCGGGGCGGAGGGGGAGTAAAACCTGTGGGTTGAAATAGAAACGGTTTAATAGGAGAGAAAGGAAGAAAATAATAATAATAACAACAGCAATAAAATGACAATAATAATAGTAATAATAAAAGAATCAGAATATACAAAACAAGTGATACACAATACAATTGCTCACCACTCGCTGACTGATGCCCAGTTAGTCCCTGAGCAGCGATCCCCGCCCAGCCAACTGCCCCCAGTTCCTACACTAGATGTGATGTCACACGGTATGGAACACCCCTTTGGCCACTTTGGGTCAGCTGCCCTGGCCTGTGTCCAGGCCACTCCCAACTCCTTGTGCCCCTCCAGCCTTCTTGCTTGCTGGGCTTGAGAAGCTGAAAAACCCTTGACTTAGTCTAAACACTACTTAGCAATAACTGAAAACATCAGTGTGTTATCAACATTCTTCTCATGCTAAATCCAAAATGTAACACTATACCAACTACTAGAAAGAAAATTAACTCTATCCCAGCTGAAACCAGGACAGGGTAATTCTTCATTATCCTTCAAGAGTTGCCATTGGGTACAGCTGGGTTCAGGCTGACTTTTAACAGCATGTGGTGCTGTTACTGTGTTCTTTTTTATTTTCAATTCCGGAAGTGTTGCACCAAAGCATCCAGTCTGGCTTCTCATATACTGTCTGCTCAGTTACCAATGGGGTGTTGAGGCAAACTAACATTGGAAAACTTTGAGGTTTGTTACCTTTTTTGTTTTCCTTTGTCATAAAACTGCAAGGGACTCTCTGATTCTTGTGGGGTTTTAGTTGGCTTTCTTTTCCTGAAACGATATTTTGTTCTCCTGGCAATCAAAAAAATCATTGATAAATAATAAATGTAGAAGTTGGATCTCTTGAGGATGGCAGTATAGCAGCTGGCTTTTCTATCTGCCTTATAAGCTAGCCTGTGATTTCTGTTATAACTAAGCTTTTCATATACCATTATGAAATATAATTAATGCAAGGATGGCATTGTAGCATTTAAATCTCTTCGGATCTTTTTTTTAATTCCAAATCATGTTTCTTCTAAGTATTTTCTTTTTTTACTACTTTAGACTGTCAGCACTCTCAATCAGCTAGAATGCAATAGGGTGAACTACCATTGTAACATTTTATAACTGGATAAGGATTTTTGATAACCCTCTTTGCTCTTAATGACTGCTTTATTACTTTATGCTTTTACCTAACTATACAGGAACATGTATACATTAGCATGCCATTTGAATGGAATAGAATAGCATAGCATAGAATAGAATATTTCAGTTAGAAGGGACCTACAACAATCACCTAGTCCAACTGTCTAACCTTTTCGGGGCTGACCAAAAATTAAAGCATGTTATTAAGGGCATTGACCAAATGCCTCTTAAACACTGACAGGCTTGGGGCATCAACTTCCTCTCTAGGAAGCCTGTTCCAGTGTTTGACCACCTTCTTCGTAAAGAAATGCTTCCTCATGTCCAGTCTGAACCTCCCCTGATGCAGCTTTGAGCCATTCCCTATCACTGGATCCCAGGGAGAAGACCTCAGCACCTCCCTCTCCACTTCCCCTCCTCAGGAAGCTGTAGAGAGCAACGAGGTTGCCCCGCAGCCTCCTTTTCTCCAAACTAAACAAGCCCAAAGTCCTCAGCTGCTCCTCATAGAACATGCCTTCCAGAAGGGTGAGCTATGCAACCCAGAGTCTTAAATTTGCAGAACTGAAAGAAACGGGTCTTAAACTAGAGATTTTGACAAAGTAGACTTCCTAAAATAATCAAAACTATTCATAAAATACATTGGGTTTTGGAAAGTTTCTGTATTTAATAGGCATTTTGAGTGCAATTGATTAACTTTGCCTTCTGTCCTTTAACATGCGATGTCCAAATGTCATTCAGTTTCTGTGGTTGTTTCCAAAGACAGGTTCTTTGTCCATGAATACCTTAGATCTTTTTTTGTAAGTTGTTACGTTACATGTGGTACTCAGTAAATTTACTTTTCAGGCCCTGAGCCTTGGAGTCAGTATGATCAGACGTAATAGTTTAGAAAGAGAAGCTGTACATGCCTCAGGAGTTGCTGAAGACTTCTGTCAGGCTACAGAATATCTAAGCCTTTACTAAAGTTTTTGATACTTAAGCATCATTGTGATACTGAGATCTGTGAATTGTCATTCAGAACTGTAGTAGTCCTCATGCTTGCTTGCAAAATAATATCTAGTGATTTCATTGGTAATTGGGGGTGTATGCTACTACTAGAGCAGCACATAAGTAACTTATTAATATTAAAGAAATCCTTCTAAAATAATACTTGATTTATGTTAAAAAAGAGGAGCAATTGTAACAGGCACCCTATTGTCAAGTTGGCAATAACTTGAGGAAATGTTAGTATCTGTCCTGGGTTATCTTCTGCATAGTTGAGATAAAGACACAGCATTTATGTTGAAGAGAAAGACATAAATAAGACCAGCTAAACTATGTATAAACCTTCCCTAAAAATAAGGTGTTTAATAAAAAAAAAAAAGGTGTGTGTGTGTATGTATCAAGATGAATTGATTTTATTGGTTGCTCTTATTTCACATTTTTCATAAATATAATTTATAAAATTTGAGTTGAGTCTGTTAATAGTATGGTAGTTTAAAAGGTATTAATCTCAAGTTGGAGGACTTCTAAAAATTGATTCCTGAAATAAGGTCGTCTTCAGAACAAAAAAAATACGTTTCTAATCTGTCACGTGCAACAGATTTCTCTGCTGCATTGTGCAGGTTCAATTGTGTGAGCTGGCTTTTAAAGACTTTTTGTTCTTTTTACTGATAAATTAATGTCTTTCATATACAGAAAGAAGAAGTATCCTGATTTGTTTAAGTGGTTTTGCATAGAAACAATAGAAGTTTGCTGCCCTGCTGGAACTTACGGACCAGATTGCCTTGGTAATTTTTCTTTTGAAAAATACAGTAGCAGATACATTCTTTTTACCTGTTTGTTTCAGTCGTTCATAACATGGACAAATACATGAAGTATGATATTTTCCGTGAGACACCAGCTGCTGTGTAGTATGTACATACCTGTTGCCTGATAGTTAGGTAGCTGCCTTGTGAGCATCCTGCCTGAAGAAAAGTCTTCCGGGCGTGAAGTAATGTACAAAGCTGTCAAGGATACTTACATGTGCAGAATCCATCTGATCTGATGTTCACATCTACACCTGACCCATGTTTAAAGGCTCCCTGTGACATCAAGTCTGTTGTTTAGGTGGCCTTTCAGAAGCTATGTAGACAACAGTTTCAAGAGTAAAATGGCCAAAACACTGTTGGGGATTAAATGAAGAAATTAAAAACTGAGGATTGGTTAAAAATGCAATGGCAGAAATTGGATAAAAGTAGGTAGGAGACAGCTGGATGAAAGTAAGGTCTTTGATGCAAAAGTGATAAAAAAGGTATTTTGGCCCCTGAAGTATAATTTATAAATCTATAAAACTTTGCACCTTGTTAGAGATCAGCTTTGGCCTCTTTAAATTGTTAACAATATAAGTGCCAATTCCCAGTATTGATCTAAATGACTGCTAGTAGGGTTTTTCCAACTGCAGTATGAGCATTCTCAGAAATCGAGAATAAATAAAGACACCAACTTTAGCCAGGAAGCTAAGAAAATAGATAAAATTTTAAGCCATGGTCTTTACCCCAAATTAAATTTATAACTGAACTTTCCTGGAGATTGTTTTGAGTAACTCTTACACTTGAATATATTACAGAGCATTCCTTGTTGCAAGCCTTTTGGTTACTCTCAAGGGAAAAAAGATTTTGGAAATTATATACTGGTTTAGTGTGACTTTTATTTTTTTTCTTTTTTACATTTTACTGTCTGTGAAGTGGTGCTGAAAATTCAGGTGCTCGTGGCTGAAAATAGGAAGTTACTCCCTTTAACATTTGATTGAAAAGTATTTTTGATCCTTTTTAGCTTGTCGTGGTGGATCGGAAAGACCTTGCCATGGAAATGGCCACTGTGATGGTGATGGTACCCGAGGTGGAGATGGCTCATGTAGCTGTAACAAGGAGTATACAGGAGATTTTTGTTTGGACTGTTCTAATGGTTACTTCAGTACCTTGAGAAATGAGACGCATTCTGTTTGTACAGGTAACAAAGTCTTTGGCACATGCTTAGATCTTTGTCTTCCTTCTTCAGTTTTTGTAAACAAAACTAGAAACAATTTAAAGTGACGAATGTAAAAACAAAAAATAGTTACAGTTTGGTCACTCAGCTTTAACTATTAATGACATGTCAGTCAGTTTGGAATTGTAAGGTTTTGCGATGTCATCCTTCCAGACTGCCCTTGATTATTTTTTTTTAATTTTTTTTTTTTTTCCTGCTTTAAATTAAGAAGCAGAATTCATTTATGTCCTGAGGGAGGCAGGAGGGAAGATCGAGCTTTGCCCCCACGTCACCACCCTCCCCCCACCCCCACGTACTGTACAAAAAACGAGCTGAAATTGCTGCACAGTGGACTACGTTGAAAGCTAGGTTTTCCTCATGTCTCAGATAAGCTTAACTGGAGTAAATGGGTGTGGAAACAGCTGATCTGTACTGTAGACTACATAGATTCCAGTTAAGTATGTCTAAGCTTAATTTTGAAACAAAGTCAGGTCGTAGGAATAAACTTTTTCAGTTGGTCAGATTTTCATCTGTTTTTACATCTTGAGTGAGATTCTGCAGCAGCTAAATCCTGACCGTGGGATCTAATAAAATTGTTTTTCAACACAATCTGTGTTGGGTTTTTTATCTGGCTGTGTAGTAATTCTTCTATATGATGTGTTTTATATTACAATATATAACATGCTGCTTATATATGCATATATAAACACTTGTGAAGTTCTTCAGACTAGTAGCACTTCACACTTCGCTCTTGTAGCTGGTTGCAAATGAAGTAGTCTGAGGATTCGTTAGGTGGGAGTGCTGAGCCTAGTGTTTAAACTGTTGTCCTAACCCTGAGTGGCTGAGCAAAGTTTATCTTCTTGATTTCCTTTTCCCAAATATTTTGGAAATTGGACCTACCACTTCTATTCACTAGAATTTCATGGCACTGTTTTAGTGGTGCAGATGACTGTAATTGCCAGGTTTGGCTTCCTGGGTTTTGTAGGAGTTTTGTTTTTGTAGGATAGAGCTGCATTTTTGTAAATGATACCTCCGTAAAGTCAAGATCTAATCTTGTGAATGGGGGGCTCAAGCTACTAAAATACAATAGCTTCCAATGAATCCTAAATAAGATTTTTCTTTGAGAATTTGTGTGACCAAACTTGTCTTGGAGTCTCCTAACAAAGCTCAGATTGTAGTTTTCTCTTATCTCAGCCTGCCATGATGCCTGTAAAACTTGTACTGGTTCAAGTAACAAGGACTGCCAAGACTGTAAAGAAGGCTGGATTAAAAATGAAGAAGCAGCTTGTGTGGGTGAGTAATGCTTGGTAGACTTCAAACAGGTTGTGTAGCAACGTTGGCTAGTGAGATTAGATGACATCACATTGAGTTTTATTGTATTTTATGGAACTGTTCTGTCAGTTTAGATTTCTATAGTTTGTATGTAGTCTGTCTTCCTTACTTGTTTCATATTGCAGGAAAGCAGTATTTCCTCCCCACTGATTGCTTGGTGATTATAGTTGTCTTTATCAAACTGTTCACTGTGAATCTTTTTAGTCTAGTGCAATACAGGTAGCAGAAAGTGTTGTGTTCCTTTTAAGATACGGGTTTTTGTGTTTATTTGAGTGCTAAACAGTACCCTGCTCTTTATTCAAATGATTTTGTCAACTACTGGAAGATTCCTGTCAGCTTATCTACATGTTTTTTAGTAATTGCACAATTGTCTTAACATTACTGTATGTTTATAAATGCTCAACCGTAATAGAGTTCAAACATTTCACTAGAAGCAAGGCATACTAACTTTTCCTATTATTGGAGAGAAATACCAGGCTCAGTGCTTCCATTAATTTCTTACCTATTTCTAGCTTAGCATTTCTCTTGGTTTATGAGGAAATATGTATGAAACACTTAAGGAAAACCCCAAATACTAAAAATACTCCCAAAGCAGGAATACACTAGGGGGGGAGTAGCACATTCTGTTTAACTGGTTGAATTTGACCTGTTAAAGACCCTTTAATGTCTGGAAACAGTATCTTAGAAATTATGTGAACACTGCTTCTTTTTAAAAGTGCTCCTGAGAACTAGGATTTGAATTACAGCTCCTGCGATACCTGCTTAGGCAACTGTTGAATGCTCCAAGAGCTTCTCCAGTGTTGTCTTCTGTACAGCTGTTTTCTTCCAAATAATCATTGCAACTGATCAAGTATAAATTAATTTGAGTAATCAGTAGGAATGATGTCTGCAGCAACAGGATCAGATAGACAGCAAGGGCACTGAAATAGGCTTTCTCTGTCTGAATTTTTTAGTTCAGTACTGTTGTACCCTTTCCTTGAAATCAAAAGACTAGCATGTTTTAACTTCCCAGGTAGAACTGGTTTTCAGCTCAGCTGGTTTTAACCATAACTGCTTTCTCCAGTTTGCTTTGTGTAGAAAACGAAGCAGTATATGTGTGTGCATTTGTGTAACTTTTTTAATACTTTAAAAAGTTCCATAGCTTAGTAATATAGGAGTAGAGAAATCAACAGTATTCCAGAAGAGTAGTCTGCTTATTTGTTATGATATTTACATAAAAAACATAAATGCTTGCAAAACTTTCACTTGAAAGTGACAAGGACAGCAGGTGTTCTGGAAGTTTTATTTAATTTGAACTCCTGAATTTCTGATATGTCTGTTATTGTCATCACAAAACATCTGAGGATCAGTTCTGATTTGTTAATGTTAAGTTTAAGCTGAACAAAACAGTATGTTACTTTTATGTCTAACGTTGCATATCTGATCCTGAACTTACTGTAAAATTAATCTCAATGCAGTCAGTTTAAGTTTATAGCTTCTGTGGGCCAGTTCTTAACAAGATCCCAAAGCATAGCATTCAAGTATTAATCTGTCTATTTAATCATTACTACTATTTTAGGTAACTTGTCACTTTTTATCTTTCAGATTTAGATGAGTGTGCTGCTTCTCCTTGCAAAGATCACCAGTATTGTTTGAACACAGATGGATCTTTCTCATGCAAAGGTTTATTTTTAATCTGCTGTTCTACTTTATCGTCTAATCTAATGCTAGAGGTAATGCTAGAAAGGGTGTGATACCAGGCATTTAGTACTATGTGGTCCAGTCCTGATTGGGTATCAGGCTTTAGACCTATCCTATGAGGAAAACAAGAGATTTATGGTTATTTCTACTCTACTCTCATGAGACCCCACCTGGAGTACTGCATTCAGCTCTGGGGCCCCCAACGTAAGAAGGACATGGACCTGTTGGAGTGAGTCCAGAGGAGGGCCACGAAGATGATCAGGGGGCTGGAGCACCTTCCCTATGAGGACAGGCTGAGAGAGTTGGGGTTGTTCAGCCTGGAGAAGAGAAGGCTCCGGGGAGTCCTTACAGCAGCCTTCCAGTACCTAAAGGGGGCTTATAAGAAAGCTGGGGAGGGACACTTTAACCTGGAGTGTAGTGATAGGACAAGGGGTAATGGTTTCAAACTGAAAGAGGGTAGATTTAGATGAGATGTAAGGAGGAAGTTCTTCCCTGTGAGGGTGGTGAGGCACTGGAACAGGTTGCCCAGAGAGGCTGTGGATGCCCCATCCCTGGCAGTGTCTAAGGCCAGGTTGGATGGGGCTTTGAGCAACCTGGTCTAGTGGAAGGTGTCCCTGCCCATGGCAGGGGGGCTGGGACTAGGTGATCTTTAAGGTCCCTTCCAACCCAAACCATTCTAGGATTCTATGTTTTCTTGTTTGGGTAAGCTGACTGACTTAAAGGGTGGTGCTTAAAACCTCAGATACATGAATTTTTATGCTTGAAATATTTTATCTTTAGCATGTGATACCAGCTGTGTAGGTTGCACAGGGGAAGGTTCTGACAAGTGTAAGACCTGCGCATCTGGATACATGAAGGAAGATGAAAAGTGTACAGGTTGGTGGATTTAGCAACACATGGTAGAGCACCAGTTAGCTCACTCTTTGGTTTTCCAGCTTATCAAAATGAACCCAGTTGTTCTCGTAGTAGCAGCAGAGACTTTCTTTATAACTTCCGTTATATTATTGGGCTAATATACATGACAAGGCTTAAAGGTGAAACTCCTACAAAAGGAACAAGGTATTTTATAGCGGGTTCAGGAAACAAATACATGAGTTTTTTGTCAGTTATCTACCACTTCATTAGAAGTGTCCCTCTGTATTCATTTTGTAACAGAAAGGCAGGAATGTAATGTGCATTCTGTTGTCTTTCTTTTAATCCCTAATGTCCAAGTTCAAATGATACTAATTCATAGTGAATTATAACATGTGAAATGATAGTAAAAAGAGTGAAATTAGTTTCTCTGTGGGGAATAGCAGAAGGTACACATGATCTTAAGTAGCTATCAACTATGATGATGTAGTATTTACAGGTTCCCTTCCCTTTGGTTGTACTTTGATGGCATCATTAGAAAATGACTGTGGGAAATCTTCAGTAGGTTAAGACAAGTGCCATTGCTTAATTCATTTTCCCACATAGGGGCCTGCAAAACATAAAAAAAATAGTACTATCTGAATAAATTTGAAACACAGTCTAAATCATGAAGAACTGTAACAGATTATTTTAACCGAAAAATCTGTTGCAGCAGCATTCTGCTCTTTGGTGTTTCTTATATTTGAATAGAATTTTGTTTATATGACTGAGCACAAGTAAGTTTTGTAACAAAATAACAGCAGTGGACTCTTCCTTTCCCTATCCTATCTCCAGATATAGATGAATGTAACCTTCCTGAGAAGGTTTGCATGAAAGAGAATCAAGACTGTGTTAATACTTCAGGTAGTTACAAGTGTGTATGTTCAGAAGGGTTTGAAGACAAGGATGGAACATGTGTTCAGATTCTAAAACCAGGTAAATGGCTTTTCAATGACAGATTTTTTTAAAATATATCAACAATTTGGAGGTGTATTTCTGCCTAAGGGTCTAGTCGCTTGTAAACTCTTCTGTATAATTTCTCATGTTCCTACAGCTGTGGTCTGTGTCAAGTAGTTTGTGGTGTAGTCCACATTCTGGCATGCATGTTTTCTTGCTTAAAGACAGTGGATTTTTTTAAATGTCCTATTCTTGTGTTGATTTTTTTTTTTTGCTTTACTCAAGGTTGTGTTTGTAAGTCACTTAACTGTCTGGCTTCATTATATAAAGTGAACTAGCAAATTACTGCTATCATAAAAAGGAGCTCTTCCTCCTCCCCACTTTTTTTCCTTTATCATTAATTATAATGACTTAGGGGTTTATCTGATCGCATGCAAGCTGCTTCAACTCACTGAAGTCTCAGAAAATTAAGCAGAATTCTTTTTGCTGGATGAGTGAGCTGAATTTATTTATCTTCTGATCACAAAAGTGCTAGAGCTGGTGTGAAGGTGAATATGGAGAAGGTATCTATCTTTCAGTAGTAGGAAGCTGTTTAGCTTGACTTAAACTATACCTTCAGTCAGAAAATTCAGGTGTAATTTGCTCTAGGATGTATGACGTATTATGGACAGAATTACATTCATTAGTGTTTCATTACTCCATTAGGCTTTTCTTACAATTCCAGAGTGAAAGACAGGATTATTTTGCAATAAAGGTTGTAGGAAAATAGGTGAGACAGATAAAGGTTGTCAGAGAATAGGTGAGACAGTCAATTTCATACCTTTATTTTCTTTCTACTACTTATCTTGTTTGGCGTTTTTGGTGTTTTGGTTTTTTTTGTTCCCATCCCCTTGTCCCCTGACTGCTTTTTCATCTTATACTAATAAGTTGTAAAGATCTATGTAGTATTGCTACTCAAGGCCATTCAGTTCAGACCTTATACTCTCAGTACGCACTGTTAGTAGTCCTTTAAAATCAGTTATGTACTCTTCCTGTGCTGATACTCAGGATATTAGTTACTATGTTTTTTTAATGTGGTCTGACATTTTATGAGAATAAAAGCAAAAGGAAAAGTTGACAAATTGGCTTAGCTTTTTTCTTAGATCAGTGCTTTTACCAATATAATAAAATGGCTGTGCTTTTTTAAAGGCTGTTTTAACATCTGAACCGAGCACTTTGCACTATAGAAAATAATTCTGAGTAATATGTGCTTTTTGTTTTCAAATACCACAATTTCTTCTGACAGGTCATGTGGAAAGGAGAAAGTTCACTGTGAATAGCTGAAAACAAAAGCTTAGAATAGAAATAGCTGTGCTGCTTTTTTCTTCCACTAACAATATCATACCAGTTTATTTGAAATGTTTTGTTTGCATCTAGGGGGAAAAAAAAATTATAAGCTTAGACTAGAAGGATGGTGCAAGTAGCTCTTCTCTATGGCTTTATTGCTTCTCTGGTCTTGATACAGATGTTGATTTGGGTTTCTCTTTAAAAAATTCCTATTGTCAAAAATTATATGGTATAATTAATAATATATTTGTATTCTAATTATGTTACTTAATTTCACAGGAGAGGAAGTAGAGAGTGAAACAACTGAGCCTTCACCTGCTGGACATGATGACTTATGATCTGCATTCAGAACCAAAAGACATTCCTATCTAAAGTTTTAAATTATTGGACTAAGTGTCTGCTAGCTGACATACTGTGGAAATGGTATTAAATATGCAGGTTGCCATTAAGATTTTTTTTTTTTTTAAATGGTGATAATCTGCTCTTTAAGCTGCATTTCTTTACTCTTAAATGCCACTTTTTATATAATTCTTCAAGAACAACACTCTAGATGGGTTAGTATAAAATTTGAATTAACATAACATTGTACCCAGCAATTGTAAACAATTTGCAGGTTTCTCATTCTAGTGCCTACTGAAAACTATCATCATTTGGAAGGACTTAGTTGCACTTCATAATTCAAGAAAAGTTTAGACTGAAGTTTGGTGTTTCTTGACATAAGAAATATTTCTATAACTGAAATACAGCTTTTAGAAATTGTCAAAGGGAATCTCTCTGGGGGGAAGCACTGTTCCCTTAAACAAAATAGAATGCCTAATACTGCATTCAATAAAAGTTTATTTTGTTGGAATGTGCCTTAAAAATTTTTAAGATGTTAATACCTTACTGTGTTGTTATGTCTGTTTTTCATTTAGGCAGTGGAAAAAAAAAGAAAAAGGAAAAAAATCCAACCAGAAAAAAATCCAACCAGAAAAAAACCCAACCGAAAAAAAAAAACCAAACACAAAACCCCAGAACCTTGTAAGCACTGTATTTCAGTTCAGCAATGAATTCCAGCACTCAGTTGTGCTGGAATCTAGGAGGGGGCAGGGGAGAAAAACCCAACAAAATCCCTCCACACACACTTTCTTCTAAAGGAAGAATTATGTCAAACTTAAACAAATTTCCAAAAGTAAATAGACAAGTCTTTCTTTCAGATACTTGCATTAAGTATGTAAGCTAGTTTATACAGTGATGAAAGGTAAGTTTGGCTACCACCTGTACTCAGTGGCTCAGAGTTGTTACACAACTACTCTCTAGAATTGATGAGTACCTGACTTTCACTACAGTCTACTGCTGCATGTAATAGCTTCTGTCTTTTTCAGAGCAAGCATACTACAATCAATTTATCTTGTTGTCTCTTATGCCATTTCAGAGGGAAAGCTAATAAGCATAGCATAGACACAACTTCCTATGTGTTGCCCTTAAGCTTGAAGGCAAGTATAAGAGCTAAAATTGATGTATTTTGCTGGACTATCACAGCTGTAAATAAGCTAAGGACCATCCAGGTACAGTATTTAAAGCTCTGATGAAAGTGAGTGAAGTTTGGAATACATTGCAGTGGTGGATACAGGGAGCATAAAGAGGGATTACAGAATACAACTAAAAAGAGCATAGCTGAGGCTTGGCTATAAGAAGTTATAAACAGTACCCTGAGGTAAGTGGAAATAAAAGGGGTATGAATAGGACTGACCTGTTGAGCAGTGAAGGCTAGACACCTGTATACTTCTGAAGACTTCTTTGTTCAGACTAAGTCACAGTTCAGTTTGTGAACAGTGCATGTAGGATTTGTATGTGCAATACATGTTTATGTGAATATTGTACAAAAAAGGATTCTGTTGGATTCTTATGTTAAAAGCTGTCTAAGCTGATCTTGTGTGCTGTAGTTTAAATACCCAATGGTATTAAAGTATCTTTAAGTATTCTTTAAGTTACTTCCCTTCAGCTATTATATCTAGATTTTTCTTATTTTGCCAGCCTGAGAATGAAAACTTTAGTGCTTTCTCAGCTGTAATTGCCAGAGACAGGCCTGTATGCCATGTATCTTTCAAGTTAAGTTGTAGGGTAGGTGTTGTGTTTAGTAAGTGCTAAATTAAAATGAGGAAAAAGTAGGCAGTTTGGGGAGCACACGGAACACAACTCAAGGATCTTTAGAGGTTTTTTTAGTACAGGTGTAGCTAGTTATGGTAATATTAGGCCTTAAGGATCTTACAGGAATGTAGCTTGTCTTTGTTGCTCAGTCATTGACACTTTGCTCCCAGGTGTTCCAGATGATTGTCTGAATGGTCCTTGTTAATAGTAACATGAAATGTCTGTTCTGTTTAGAAACTACCATCAACCCATACTCAAGGGAATTGTCTCTCCAGTACAAATCTTCTATTAATGTTTCAAGACTGAAATAATGCTTCCTCATATGAAGAAGAACTTGCTATTCTAAATTCCCTTCAGGTTATTTGGGACTCTGGGGAGATACCTGATGAGGTTCTTAATTACGTTGTGGAAGCATTTGCTTTCCATTTCCTCCCCCTGCCAAGCTCTGGACAAAAAGCCCTAACTGAATTGGCCTTAGTTAAGCTCAACTCTGGTATGAAGTAATGAAAAACAAAAACTTCAAGAATTTGTTTTTTCTCTGGTGGTAGAGAGGAGAAACTCTTCCTAGCCTGACCTGCAAAAGTAATGAGAGTAGTCTGATATAACCAAACTGTTGTTCAGTTCCGGAGAATGTTTTCAGCTTTCCATTACCATAGTAGAACCATCAGAGTGTTGTTCCTTCGGAAACATATGGATGTGGTACCTGGGTATTAGGAGTCACTAATATCTTTTTCCTCAACCGTCTCGCTCCCCAGCCCCTGATTATTAGCACCTATTGCTCTGCATTGATAAGTCAGGGGTCCAGAAAGGTAAATTCAAATATTTAGAGCTTTCTGTGAAGGAATATTTATCAAGTATGTGACTTGATCAATATTTAACACTATGCTACTGCCTCCTGCCCTCTCAATGCTGAGTTTCTAAAGAGTTAGTCCTCTTGTTTTATTCTGCATCCTCATTTTACTACTTCAGACTGTAATTACTGCTCTGTTTTAGAGGTTGGAACTAAAAACTATTTTGACTGAATTAATTCTGGCCCACCCTCTGCCCCTGCCTTGAATAGAGTGGGGATTGGACTTCTAGTTGTGTTGGGTTTTGCCCCTCATAATCAGAATGAAGGGGGTAGGGGAGCAGGATTTAAACTGATTAGCAGAAACTGGCAATGAAAGTCAAGTGCTTTGTGTTAGCCAAACCAGTTCAGGGTATGAATGTTTTCTATTGTATATGTTAACAGCTTAGTGCTAAAAAAAGTGAGCTGTTCCCATTGAATTTTTCATTACTTTGTAAGAAGATCTGGTAATGTAGTGCAAGACTTTGTTCTTAATGTTGCCTGGAATTACAGGTCTGATGTCAAACTATATGAATATGTTGGTGAATACTTCAGAAGTGATCTAAAGTATCCAACAAACAAGATTTGTTCCTTAGTGAAGTGTTGGTTAGGTACTTTTGTCGTAAATACCAAGGTGAACCTTGAACCTCTAGATTCACACCTATTATTTTGTAAACTTCACACTGTATGGTATCAAACTAAAAATGGCATCCCTTTTGCTAGTTTGTCTTGCTGCTACTTTGGGGTTTCTTGACCTAAGACTAAGTGCTTTTGCAATGGGAAATACACTATTCAGTACCATCTAGGCACTTTAAAGGACAAGATTCTCTGGTATGTTACAGCTGGATTCCACAGAAGGCTCAGAAGCACTTTCCAGGAGCAAGCAAACCTACAGACCTGAATGTTTCAATTAAAGCTCTAAGCAAGGCCAGGAAAGCGGTCTTAAGTATGCAGCATGTATACCACAATCCTCCTGCCATGTCTAAACTTAGGAATCAAAGTATGCTGAAATGTTTTCATTTGAGCATTGGGACATAATACTGAATTTATTCTTTGGTGTGAATTCCCAGCATGTTTATCATAGACACTGAGTTCTCTGCAAAGTATAATATCATCCATTTATAAATAGGGTAAAAGAAGGCTGTTTTGCAGAGTAACTTGATGATTTAGGTAATTCAGGAAATCAGAGATCACTGAAAGCGTTCAAATCACTATCTTCTCTCTCGGGAGAGATGCCAAAGCCCATAGGTTATAGGAAAGATCAGGACATAGGTCACTGTAATATGGGATATATTGTACAAACACAATGCTATTTTTCCTTTTATGGTTGACAAGGACTGGTCATACATAGTCCTGATACGTACGGGAGAGGGACTCTTCAGTCAGGCAGTTGTCATTGTTAGCCTTTGAACTGACATTTGCAAGTTGAAAAAGTACCAAGAGTTGTGAAAATCACCAAATCACATTTTGAGTGTTAAGCTTTCAGTGTGTACAGCACTCTGTGCATATGTTAAGACAATTCTCCCTGACAAACAGGGTGCACCCTGCTCTTCCAAGTTGCTTTTTGACCATTCTTAATACAGCACAAGGTTAGGCATACAAATAATTCAAGCATGCCTTAACAAGTGACTAACTGAAAAGAATGCATGGGGAGGAAAGAAAAAAAAAAAGCTTTAAAAAAAACCCCCAAGCAGTCCTGGGTCATATATAGCAATAATATAAAAGACAGTTCTCCATAATGGTCCTAGCTGACTTCCTGGTACCATTCCCTTTCCTTCCTTCTGTCTGTCAATCTGTGAAGGGTTATTTTCTTTCATTATATTTTATCTGTTCTGAAAGGAAACTTCTGAGGTTATTCAAAGCAACTGTCTGTGGTTTTTTTCCTTCCTTGGATCAAAATGGGAGTTTCCCCCCTCTTTTTCAGCAACTTCCCACCATGTCTAACTTTCTGGTTTCAGTTCCAATGTTAATCCAAATATGATCTGTGGATAAAGCTCGAATATGTTTGCAAGGATCTTGTTTTTTTCTCGGATTTCTCTTAGAATTAGATTTTAATGGATCCTGATGTAGTAGTCTTTCTCTTGCACTAGTGTATTAGACTTTCTTTCTTACTTGAAAGTACCTTTGAAATTGTATTTCTGTTGCATTAGACCTCTTTTTTTGTAGCCTTTTTGTCTTGATTTTTAACTTTTTTTTTTCTTCAAATATTCAAGTTAATACTTTCTCTTACAGGACTGGAATGTTAAAACTTAATTTCTGCTCTGATTGTTCTTTGTGGCACACATGGCTATGTGTAAGTAGTTGAGATAACAGGCATGTCCTTATTACCCTGTCTTTGTTGAATTTCTTGGGGGCGAGGGGGAGAGTTGCTGTTAGTCCTATTGAATCTAGACCTCTTAAACCAAGATTCTGGAGGGTAGAGGAACCTCTTGGGATAATCTGCTGGGAGATAAGAGAACTAGACCTGGATTTATTTCTCCTGCTTTCTTAGAGTGCTCTAACCACTAGGTTAACTAACAACTAGATGGGCAAGGCTACATCTGGCTACACATCAAAAGAAAAGAGTGAGATCATACAAGTTTGTGTGTTCTTTGGGGGGAGGGGGTTCTTTTTTTGTTTTGGGGTTGTTTTGGTTTTGGGGGGGGTTTTTTGGGTTTTTTTAGAAAATGAGTATCTGTTATCGATAGATGCAACTTGCTGATCCTGATTCATACAGCTAAGTTCTGTAGAAGGAATAAAAAGTCAGGACTATTCATGTCCTGGGTGGGGGGAGGTTTGAGGGGTGTTTTTGGCTAGGAGTACATATCTAGCTTGCTTAACTTTGGCTATCTAGAATGTAGATGTCAGAGTCTGGCTGAGTTGTTTGATAGTTGCTGTTAGAACAGATTACA